TTATTGTAGAGATGAGGTCTCGCCATATTGCTCAGGCTGGTCTCGAACCCCTGGACTCAGGCAATCCTCTCGCCTCCGCCTCCCAAAGTGCTAGGATTACAGACGTGAGCCACCGCCCCCGGCGAAATGTAGTCTTTCAAGAGACAGGGCTAGAAGGGCCTTTTACAAAACTTTGGCAGAAGAAACTACGATGTGTATGGAAGTCCAAAATGATAGTAAAGCTCTCACAGGCCCCAGATCCACCTCTTCTAGCCTTCCAGGCTCCGCCCGTCTCCAGAGCGGCTCCTCCTCCCACGTCCCACGTGCCTCGGCCCTCTGTTTGGGCCGACTTCTCCCCAGCTTGTCTCGCTTGTCTGACGCTGTGTCCAATCGTAGCCTCCCGGCGTGCATTGCGGCTGCAATGGCTGCCCCCGGCCGTCGCGGGGCTGGGCTGGTTCGAGCGGCGTTAAGGGTCTGGCAGCCGGGCCTCTACGCCACGGGGGAGCGGGTGACCCCGCTCCCCTCACTCGTAGGCTGTCAACGGAGGTGCGTGTCCTGTGTGGCGGGGATCACTTTCTCTGGTCCCCGATTGGCCTCCGCCTCTCGCCAGTACGGCCAGGGATCGGCCTTAGACCGCTTCCTCGGATTCCCCGAGTCCGACAACTCGCTGACTTCTTGCGTCCCCGCGGTGTCCATGCACAGAGGTAAACAGCCCTGATAGATTTGGCCAGAACTGTAACGGTTTTAGCACTGAAACCCTTCAGTCTCTGTGGATATCGCTTGTCTTTGGCTCTATTTCATAGAAAACGATTTTGACACTCTTGAAAGAGGTGGGCAGTGAAGAATCTCACAGGAGAGAGATGCCAGGTTCTAAGAGTTTGGGAGGGAGAGGAAGCCTATCTGGTTTCAACCATAGATGTTCACTAAAGCGCACAAGATTGAAAGGCTACAGGCGAGGCTCAACTCTGGCTCTCCGCCCCCACATGGCAAGCAAACTTGTTCCAAGATTTGCATGTTGACCCTCATCTACTTGTCAAACACAGCTACACCTGGAAAATAGCACACTTTATTCGTGCATGGTAAGAAGTCTGGACACAAACTGGTAGTTGCAGTACAGTGTCACCAGAAGGAGCGAATACAGAAAGACTGGGAAAGTTTGCAGAGCGTTCATAGGCCTTTAGTAGGGTGGGATAATGAGATCTGGGGACATTTCTGACTTGATTTAGTCTAACTGTACTTTCACACATGTACATACATTTCTCAGGCACAGCTGCACATTACAATTACATGCAATAATTGAGTATCTATTAAATGCCAGGCATTGACCAGGCGCTGTGGCTCAAGCCTCATACCAGCACTTTGGGAGACCAAGGTGAGAGGATTGCCTGAGCTCAGGAGTTCAAGACCAGCCTGGGCAACTTGGTGAGACCTTGTCTCTAAAATAAATCAAAAAATTAGTGGGACGTGGTAGTGTGCACCTGTAGTTCCAGCTACTTGGAAGGCTGAGGCAGAAGGATCTTCTGAGCCCAGCAGGTCTAGGCTGCAGTGGCCATAAATGTGCCACTGCACTCCAGCCTGGACGACAGAGTGAGAGTCCAACTCAAAAAAAATGTCAGGTATTGTACTGAGTGGTTTTACACAATTGCCATTCATCAAAAGAAAGTTATAAGTGGGTAAGTAGATACCTTTAATATCTACTCCAACCAGGCACAGTTGCTCATGCCAGTAATCACTGAATTTTGGGAGGTCAAGGCGGGAGGACCATTTGAGGCCAAGAGTTCAAGACCAGCCTGGGCACCATAGTGAGACACTATCTCTACAAAAATAAAAATAAAAATTTAAGCCAGGGTCGGTGGCTGTAATCCCGTGCTTTGGGAAGCTGAGGTGAGTGGATTGTCTGAGCCCACAGGTTCGAGACCCGCCTGGGCAACTTGGCGAGACCTCATTTCTACAATAAATCAAAAAGTGACGCCGGGCTCGGTGGCTCAGCCCGTAATCCCGCGCTTTTGGGAGGCTGAGGTGAGTGGATTGCCTGAGCCCACGGGTTTGAGACCCGCCTGGGCATTGAGACCTCATCTCTACAATAAATCAAAAAAAAAT